TGTGTCTGCGTGTGTGTGTGTGCATATATGTGACTAGGCTCTATTTATTAATAAATTATGACTCATAAGTTATTTAAACCTGTTTACTTATAAACACACCCCTTCCTCCTTATCCACTGTACTATTTCTTACAGCAATATTGTCTCACATGTATAAATATAATTTACTGTATGTTCTATTTTGGTTTTATTAAGTCAGAAGGAGAAGGAGTCATTTCTGCCAGAGAGCTCGGACTAGGCTTGTGTACGTCACCTGCATCTGTCTATGAAATACAGAGGAATTCAAGAAGACAGACATTTACAAGCAAAAATCCACTCATCCATATACTTTTCTATATCTTCAACAAATTTCATTTTCTTGATTATTATCTCAGATGGGATGAATGCCAGATGAAAGTAAAGTCAGCAAAGTATGAAAAATGACATCTAGGAAAGTGCAGTTAGAGCTTGCTGCCACCTATTCTTCAAACACAGGGCTGAGGGTCTATCAATGTGATGATTTTCTCAGTCTCTGTGCTTTTGTTGAAGTGAAGCCGAGGGTTTTGCTGAGGTTTGTTGAATGTCATCCCCACACACTGTTACTCATACAGTTTCTCTCCCTCACACTGAATTTAGGAAATCATCCAGTGCAAGTTAAAAGGCAGATACATAAAGTGCTAATTTAGTGACCAAACATTTCATTTCTGTTTCATTTGTGTCTAGAAAGTATACAGTACGATGGACACAAAAGAATAATTCTGAAAATGCTAAATCAGACTGCTGTGATGGAGGGTCATCCATGAGATAAATGTAAGGTTAACCAGATTGTTTTGTTTTCTAGTAAGAGTCTATAAAGATCAATTCCTGGTAGCAGGGGAGCTTCTGGCTTCCATTTAACATATCGCGGGCTTTTCTATAAGCTTTATAGCTGACTAAACCTTGGACTGGAATTAGTCAAGTTGTCAAGAAAGGCCAGCCTCGGAGTCCGGGGGGAAAACACCCTTGGATTTCATCATATTACCAGCTCTGTGCCAAAAACCCAGCAGATTGGAGCCCTGCCAAGTGGAGTGTGGAAGTATTCTTCCAGCTGAGCTTTATCTAAAGACAAGGGTTCTGTATTGTAGCTATATTTTGATTATTATAGTTTGCACTATACAGTATGCACTACTTGGAGATGATTCATTGGTGATGATTTCCGTAGGCCATTGAGTACTTTAAAGCCGCAACAAGTAGCTGATCCTGGCAGCCCCTGTGGATAAAAGCGGTAGTGTTTCCACGGCCTAATTTAATTTATTTCAAGGGGAATCCAATCGAATCTGATTCGGTCACAGGAATTAAGAATAACAACTGGTACATAGAAATAACCAGTCTTCTCGCTAATGATCTTGTGTGCTTATGTAGCTCATAGAGGTATCCGTATTAAATTAAGAAGGTTTCATAACCAGTTAAAAACTCCTTGTAGTATGTTTAAGCAAATTGTGTGAGCAATACTTGTGTACTAGTTTAAGTATGAATTTGAAAGCAGGACTTTAACTTGTAATGGAGTTTTTTTTAATTGTTATATTGGTACTTAAGTAAAGGATCTGAGTACTTCTTTCACCACTAGCTTCATTAGGTGCTTTTTAATATACAATTCACACCCTTAATGATATACTCACAGAACACACACTCACAGACAGCTTGACTGATAGTCTGACAGTGTTTTGTTGATGTTCTATTGTGGTTTAGTGAATTTAATCATTATATTTATCTAGTGTTGTTTAATCATGTTAAATGTTTTGATTGTTGCTGTTTGTTTCTGTATTATACTGAACTATGACTGTTTATGTATTTATGTATATATGTATTTGGTGCATCAGGTACATCACACACACATATACACACATAGAGGCAATGACTCCGGCTCTTTGCCAACTACATGTCGGTCAAACAAAACATTCTCCCAAGAGGAAGAGATTTTATCACCCTCTTGGGTGTTGTGGGAATGTTATAGATTCTGTAAAAAGGACAGTGTTATCTTCTTATCCCATGTGCAGTTCAGCACAGTTTAGACACTCACACACATGCATGCACAAATGTCCACACATGCACATAGAACATACTTTCCCATCTACCTTTCACACACGCTCTTCTACCCAGCTTACTGCTATATGTGGTTGATAACGATATTAATACATTCTGTTGTTATTATGCTGCAGTTTCATTTGCACATTTGCTTTTTAATTTAGCAAAAGAATCTGCTATAAATAATGTTAGAGATGAATTTTGAAGTATACTATTGTTTTATCTATGTTATATTATGTATATCAGTATATTTTAAGTATTGGATCTTTTTTTATAGAAATATCTGATGTATATGAAAGAGGTTAACAGTGTCATAGAATTTCTTTTTAGCAATAACATGATGCTATTGATAGATGCTATTTATTTTCAGGCAGGTCAGAGGTCAGAAGAGTTGCAGACTCATGCTTGAGCTGATTGGATTTTTAACACCCTCCTGGCCCCATCAAAATTATAATACAGCAAAGCTAATTCATACTGTAAGTGACTCTAAGTGAAGCAGTCCATAGTCCATTAACCCCTTGAACTTAAAGGTCCAGTGTGTAACATTTAAGAGGATCTATATCCAGATATGGAATATAATATTCATAGGTATGTTTTCATTAGTGTAAAATCACCTGAAAATAAGAATCATTGTGTTTTCGTTTAACTTAGAATGAGCCATTTTTATCTATAGGGTGAGCAGGTCCTCTTCTACGGAGGCTGCCATGTTAAAACAGCATGTTTCTACAGTAGCCCAGAATGGACAAAACAAACACTGGCTCTTGATGCCACTAAATTCTACACACTGGACCTTTAAGGCTGTTTTTTTGCTCAGTATTATTTAGATAAGTCTTACAGGCTTATCATTACATGTCTTAGCTGCTGTAGGCATGCCATACAGTATGTTGGTAATGTAAAGTAACAAAGGTTTATTTCCAAGGATTTTGTCGCCTTTCTTATGGGATGAATATATTTTAAGATTTTCCCACCAGAGTACCTATCATGCTTTGGGTGATGTAAACATGAAGTATGATGATGGTGGGTAAACTAAGTCATGTGGTTTCCAATTCAAAGTGGCTCAAAGTGTGAAAATCCCTTTTTTTTCCCAGAAGAGCAGATCCTTGGTCAGTTTTAAGATTCCTGATGTAATTCAAATATTGAAATATTTAATTATTTAATTCAAGGATTATATGCATATATGCTTAAAGTTGTAGATCTTGTCAACCTGTGGCTTTCATTTATCTTCTCAGTGTTTCCAATCACTTCATGAGCTGTCTGGCCTGGATAGCCAAGTAACGCATGCTAATGAATCAAGTCTGGGCCAGGATTATATGCATATATGCTTAAAGTTGTAGATCTTGTCAACCTGTGGCTTTCATTTATCTTCTCAATGTTTCCAATCACTTCATGAGCTGTCTGGCCTGGATAACCAAGTAACGCATGCTAATGAATCAAGTCTGGGCCACCTTAAATGTAGCATAGCTAATTCCAATAGTTCCCATGCCAGACGAACCAATTGGCTTTAGAAAAACGATGAATGATAACGATCTGTAATGGTCTGAATTGTGATAAAAGTATAACACATGCAAAACCTTCTGCTAAAACATTCCAAAAGACATCTAAAACTTTAGAGAAGAACTTTGGAGGCAGGAATTTGTGTTAGCTAATCAAATGCAGTATTGAATGAAAATAGGATTGGGGACAATTGAGATTGCAAAATAGGACGATAATGAGTTCATCTGGAGTGCGTTGGTATATTATCTGCTGCATTCATTTAGCAAAACTCCAAATCCCCAGAAACTTTGATATAAGCTCATCTGCCTTTACATAATAAACATGCTGCTATCTTGGTGTGAGCCAAATTAATTGCATTTCACTTTGCTGTGTTTGTCAGCCCTGCCAGGAGTTGTTCTGTGCTGAAGTCACACTCTGTTCACCACTGCAGGGCAATTGACAGCATGTTTTGTGTCTGTTTGCAAAAAAAAGTCCACAGATTAAAAAAAAAAACTCTTAAAGGACAAGGAACATCTGTCTGTTGACACATGTTTTCAGACTCTTCACAGTTTTGATCAAACGTACAGTTACATATGTGCATTTTCTTGCAGGTGACACAATGCATCAGCGTAAACGTAAACAATGTAAATTTGCTTGAAAGAATGACATATGTGTCATTACCAGACCTCAGTAACATAGCAACAAAAGTAAGCATTTTAGGCCAAGTTTAGCACATTAAGCATAAGTGATTTTTTGCAAACTGTTTTAGAGGTGCTATGATACAGATTATTTTTATGAATTTTTGTCTTGTCATCTGTGAATATTGTCTCTTGTGCAAGTCATTGTGTCTTATGTAATATTATATATATATGATATTTGTCTAAGTTCGATGTTACTGACACCGCTGCATTGAGCTTACCTACCATGTTGTACCGAAAGCAAATTCCACTGACTTCGGTCGTGTGGTCATTAATAAATTATTGTTTGAGGACTCACAGTGTTGTCTGAGGCATGAGGGAAAACATAATTTCTTGGGCAAATTTAAATGCCTCAAACTGTGTTTTACAAGTTTCTCCACCTAAATGAAAGGACAAAAATAGAAAACAAAACAAAAAAAACAGAAAGAAAATAAAAAGCACAGGAGCAGTGTCCACTCAAGAAAGTTCAACTGAGTGCCCTTAAAATCCCACATAAATCTGCTCTATACAAACTCAAGCACCACCACTTCTCACACTCAAGTGAATGCATAAAAATATATATGATATATGATATAAACACATACACAACTGACAAACATAGAAAAAGACAGACCAATCCTTGCATACAAATGAAACAACACATAAAGGAATTGTGAGTTATGAGTCAGATAAGTATCACAATGATGAACTGGCTGCACAATACTGAGGCACCACAGCAGACAAACACTGGAATGCACACCCACACACACATAAACACTTCAATACCCAAGTAAACACACACCTATAGTACATACACATCCAATTAAAATTCAGAAAAGATTGCTCTTCACATTGTTAGCGATACTTCTTTATTACCATCCTTAACGCAAACATGCAACGGGTTTGAACTTTTCATATTTATCACGGTTCATCCTGCCCACTTCTGAGTCATTTTATGTGCAATGAGGGTCTCAACTAATGATCTAGAAACTCCCTTAAGACAGTCTAGTTATACTTTATCACACTGGAATAAAATAAAAATAATGAGAAAGAAAAAAGGAAAAACTAGAATTGCAGTGTGTGCTGTAGCTCAAGGAAATGAAAAGACTGATCAAAGAAAAATCTGAAATATGGACTTTTACATACAGTAAGCTAATGGTACACATAGGGTCCACAAAGGCACATAGGTGTTCTTCTTTATAATGAAAACATATGAATTTAAAAAGTTGTTCATCTGACCAGCACTTCTTCCTCTTGTCTTGCCTCGAGGAGTACCAGCAAACGTGAAATTATATAGTACAAACAACTCTGAACTCTAAAGTCAAAAGACATTTTAGATTAAAAAAAAATTGTGTTCAGCCTTGTAGCTGTAACTGAAAATAACATACCACAATTTAGTCCTCAGATCCACATTAGCATTAACTTAGAAGAGACTCTACACATCACACCATTCTCATTGGTCAGGGGTTTCCAAAGCCTGACACAGTAAGAACCTCCGAGAGGATATTTGGAGGATGTTAACAGGAAGTATAGTGTAGCCATAGAGTCAGTTAGTTAGCTACAACTTGAGCTCCTCCATTTTTAGGCTGTATTTGTTCACATTTTGGAAAGGTAACACCTTTAAAAGTATGCCAAATTTGCTGATGATTTAAATATTTCCATGGATGTACAGACAATGATCGCTGGATTACTTTGACACTGAACGAAACTTGATCATTCGTAGCCAAATTAGTTATAGTAGTCCATATAGTCCATAATTAGATTTATGGACGTTTATTCACAATGGACAATCAGGATAAACTAAATCCTTGGATAGTCTAAGTAACACTAAATCTCAAACTATGTGTATTGTTGGTGTGTGTAGATTTCACTGAGTTCAGTATCTGATGTCTATCCCTACTTCAAACCTAGATCAATATCAATCAGCTCTTTTACCTTGATCTTCGATGTCCAGATTCTTGATCATCCACTGTACAATATCTGAACCTGAAATAAAAGAAAGCACATAGATATGAATCACTGGCATATCTAATATATTCACAGTGTGCTGAAATACCTTTTTGCATATAGATGCAAATGAAAAGGAAAACAATGACACTCTTAACCCTAGCCACCTCCCCTCATCATCACAGTGCATACCAATTCCTCTCGCTTTGCACCATGTGGGTGGGTAATAGGCCATCCATTACCAAATTTTCTTTTCTGACACCCTCTCCAAGCTGTAGTCCATTAATATAAATGACCAGAGAGGTACAATGGCATAATGAAGTATCCATTGTGTACAGTAACAACACAATTTGTCTGACTCAGTCACAGCACAGACATTGCATTGCAATTGTTTCATTTAATAAGTAAATACATCACAGTGGATATTTCCAGCTGTCACAAACAAAAACTAATATGTAAACAGGTCAGGTCTCAGAGAGGAGAGGAATTGCATAAATGTAAAACTGAGACAAAGGCAAGGCAATACATTATACATGTATGAATTTTAAAACAGATGATGCAATCTTTTACCATTACATTACATGAAACTTTTTTTTTTGGTGGATGCCATTTTGCAATACATCCAGCTGAGAATGCAACTGAATCATTTTCACATCTCAGAAAAACATAACAGCATCTTCTGCCCCCTGGGCATTTTCACACCCCACTATACCATGTGACTTTGGCACTTTGGCTAAATATACATTTTCCAAGTTATTATTACTGCCTGTCATGCTGACAGGTGAAGGTGTGTTGAGGAGATGAGAGCCACAGAAAGCAAAAAAAAGGTGTGAAATGCCGACATGAGGGAATTCATGCAGTGAGAAAGTCAGTCCCTGTGGCTGTCTCTCTGTCAATCAAGCTGTCTTTCTGTCTGTCTGTGTTTTGTCTCGCCATTTCACTGCAACCACTTGCTTTTAAGCACCCCCATAACCAGATGACATTTTGCATAGATTAACAATATAATACAACCCCATTTTCACACTATCAAAGTTGACCCACATTCTGGAGCTTAAATTAGATGTGTAAGGTAATCCTCTAACAAGACTGTTCTCCCAATTGATTAATATCATGCCCATAGATTGGGCTGTGCATGTGTGTATGTGGGTGTGTGTGCATCAAAATGCGACAAAAATATAAATAGAGTGATAAGCGATAACGTCAAAGATTAATGATCCCCATGATGGCAAATATTGGATAATTGCTGCAGCAAATAATAACAGGATACAGAAAAGGGCAACATGCACAGATGAGAATTAATACTTAAAGATAGATTAAATAGAAATTATGTATGAAAAGCTAGAATAGCTATTGTATTTAGAGATTTTAAGTTGCATTACTGTATGTGCATATTTGCAAACAAAAAATAGTAAAACAGCATAAATCTCTTTGTCTGATTTAAAGGAGGACTAAAATTTGGAGAAATTATTTGCAAAGTTAGAATACATAGAATACACTGTAAATGCAAACGTTGTAAAAATCTGTACAATGTGAATGTTCACTAACATCTGTGTTGTTAAAGAGCATTTAAAACAAACTGAGAGAGCAGCAGAGTTGTTTCTAATGCTCACTTTAAGGAATGAACACACAAAGACACCTAATAAAAAACCACCAAAACACACAAACAATACACACACAAAGGAGACACACTCATACTGCAAGTACACACATACTTACAACTTAACACAACAAGTTTATGTTACTATACATACTCCTATATTTAAGATGTGTTTAAGCACCTGTGTGATGAGAAATGTAAGATAAAAGAATATAAAAAAATACTCGGCTCAATATTAAAAAAGAAAGAAAAGAGAAAGAGAAAAAAGGAAATAAATGGTAAACGGACCTGTACTTGTATAGCACCTTTTTAGTCTTCATCCAGCCACATTTGAAACAGTTAGTCAGCAATACAGTCATTTGAGAGCAAGTGCCATTAACAATTTTGAATAAATTGTCAATATTGTTAAAAGTTGAGGCTCTGAGTAGGGCAGAGGAAAAAGACACTGCAGTAACCTTGTTGCATCCAAAACTGTTGTGTTTACAGATTGGCCTAGTGCTCCAATAAACAACGGAGGGGAAGCTTTGGAGGGACTGTGTCCTTATTGCAGCCTTAGAAACTGCCAGGGGAGAGGTGAAGTCTGAGCATCACATTCTTGGAGGAAAATTCAAAAAGTCCAGTGTATTTTGACAGAAATATATTGTAATTCTCATGATTATTTTAAGACATGTGGATTAAGTGCACTGTAGTTAGGTAAAGGTAGCTGCAAAACAGAGCAACAAATACAAGCCATCTGTTGTGTTCCTACCAACATATAGCTAGCTGTAGCTTTTTGTGTGATATCTGATAAAAAAATATAGAACAGAGATGGTTCGGATCTGATGTTGCTTGACTTTCCACTGTTTTTGAACAAAGACAAACACACAGAAACACTGTGTGGTAGATCTGGCATCAAAAGGGGAAAAAAAAGAACTGTCAGCTGCCCTTGATACGCCCAAAGCATTCATCATTGTTTCCCTAACATCACTAAAGCTAAATTTTGCTATTTAAATGTATATGTGTTCACATGTTTGAATCTGTGCCCCATCTCAGCCACCTATTTTAAAAGAGCCTAGACATGTCACTGTCACACAAGCCAAGTGGGGCCCTTAGTTAAGGGTGTCCAATCCAACAGACGAGCTACTGTAGCTCAAATTGCTGAAAAAGTAAATGGTGGTTCTGATAGAAAGGTGTCAGAATATACAGTGCATCACAGTTTGTTGTGTATGGGGCTGCATAGTCGCAGACCAATCACGGTGCCCATGCTAACCCCTGTCCTCTGCCAAAAGCGCAAGAGTTCAAGGTGTTGACTTGGCCTCCAAATTCCCCAGCTCTTAATCCAATCGAGCATCTGTGGGATGTGCTGGACAAACAAGTCCGATCCATGGAGGCCCCACCTCACAACTTACAGGACTTAAAGGATCTGCTGCTAAGGTCTTGGTGCCAGAAAACCACAGCACACCTTCAGAGAACTAGTGGAGTCCATGCCTTGACGGGTCAGGGCTGTTTTGACGGCAAAAGGGATAACTACACAATATTAGGCAGGTGGTCATAATGTTATGGCTGATTGGTGTATATTACAGTACAGTAGTGCATTGTTTATTTTTTATCTTTATGTATGACTGATGATGGCTTTGCGTCTCTTAGCTTTTGAGTGTAGTGTTAAATTTAACTAATCTCTTATGGAGTCTCACTGCAGCATGGGTTCTTATCTATTAGGTTGCACAGCTCCAAAATCCAATATGATCATTTTGACATTCTGGCACTGCTGGTGTGAAATGCAAAACAGACAACTCTCTAAATACTTTCAGTGTTTTGTTTGGCAAGTACAGAGCATTAGTCGGGTATGAAGTGGGTGGGAGCCAAGCGGAGGAGAGGAGAGGAGAGG